GAGTACGTCAACATGGTGGAGAAGGGCATCATCGACCCCACAAAGGTACAGGACAGACTGAAGATGAAGCTCAGTGCACCCGCTTAGTGTTTGAGTCATTAAAGGGACAGTATCATGTAAAATCGACTTTTTTGATCTTTCCATCCCATTATAATGTTAATCCCTCATCAGAAACATACCTGGAGTGTTGCTGGGATTCTTTAATGCATGTTGGAGAAATCCTTTAATCTCCATGGCAACCATTCAGCTGTGCAAAATGGTTGGTGGGACCTAGCCCCGCCTTCAAGATGCAGCTCCTCCTGTTTTTCCTCATAGATAATAAATCTAAAATCATTGGTTTGTCTCGTGATCAATGTAAAGAAGCTCATTTTTATCTGTTTTTGTAAGATTGTTAGATTACAAAAAAATACCAGACTTAGAAAAATGGAGTAAAGACATTTCGTTGTAGATGTATTTTACTGGCAATTTGTGTTTTTGCTGTGGGAATTCTACCCCGGTTAAAGCTTGTAACTAGTTGCAAGCTTTAATCAGACAACAAATAAACTGTAACCTGTCCTTCTCTTCCTCCTGCAGGTGGTACGGACGGCGCTGATGGACGCCGCCGGAGTCGCGTCTCTACTTTCCACCGCCGAGGCCGTCGTCACGGAGATCCCCAAGGAGGAGAAGGAGATGCCAGCAGGCATGGGCGGCATGGGGGGAATGGGAGGAATGGGAGGCGGCATGGGGTTCTGAGCCGGGCCTGCCGACCCTGTACAGACTGAATCATCAGATTTGAGCTGGATTGACCACGATTCCTCCGGAGCTTCACTTGGTTTGACGGCTCAGTGGACTGAGAGCTGCCGGAGCCCTCCTTCATATTCCACACTGGCACCTGAACGCATCATGTAACCTGCTCTGAGGGAAGCACTAACACTGGGTTCACCACTAGGGACGGCTTGGTTTGTTTCAGCCTCACGTGTCTGCAGAGAAACGCAGAGTTCTGAATCTGTGTGCATTGTTGCATATGGAGAAAATGATCACTTTTTTTTTTCTCCACAATGTTCTGATTCTTCTATTTGACGAAAATACCCCCCTTCCCCCCCTCTCCTCTCCCACCCTCCCCGGTTGCACTTGAGTAGCTGTAGTCCTGCAGGCTGAAACAAACAGAACCATTCCTTTGTGGACCAGAGAGAGCAGGCCTTCAGTGTCCATGTCTGGATTTTTATTTTGTAGTAGTTTTTTCTTTTTCTGTTAATTCTTCATGCGTTTTTGTAATATACATGTCTGTCATCATTGATCCGAATTAAAGCAGTTTTCTTACAGACTACGAGCGTTTCGTTACGTCTTCACTCTGAGTGCCTAACAGGCCTGCTGAATGTTTACTGACCCTCGTTAGTGTAAACATGACCCTGACATGTTCTGTGACAAAGTCTGAATGTGAAACTGTATCTAGTCCTGTAGTGACGTGCATGAAGCAGCCAGTAGGTGGCGCCAGTGTTCCAGAACGTGATCACCGGGTCATTTCTGTCGAGTAGACGTGATTGTTTTTGTTCTATTTAATAAATCAGTGTCCATATTACGTTTGATTTTAGTGCTTCCTTTATAGGTCAAGTCAAATCATTCAGAAGCCAACTTATTCCAGTAAACAAATGTAAAATATAAGAGGTAAGTTTTATCATACCATTCAAAAATTATTTTTAATACAGAAATTTCAACACAAACTGCAAAGAAAATTTTTTACCATGTCTCTCTCTCTCTCTAGCATTTTTATATGCTATAAAATTTCACTTATGTGGTTAAAATACATAGCACCACCCCATTAACTGAGTAGGAATTTAGAAAATTTAAGTCAGACAAAACTGAAACTTTAAATACTGCAGCAGACGGTACTGTCTCTACCATAAAGCCCAGATCACTGGTGTCAACTGCAAAAGTTAAGATATTAATTCATGTTTTTGTCTCCAGACAAAAACATGAATTTTTGTATAATGCATTCAATAGTATAAATGCATTATACTATTGCGATAATGCATTTACTCGTCTCAGTAAGAAGGAACCATTTTTGTCCTCTTAGTCCAGAACCTGCTAAAGAAGAGTTGATATCATTTCGGTTTTAAAAAATACCTCCAGTTGGTTTCAGAATAAAAGTTAAAGTCGTACTTTTAACCTTCATGCGATGACTTCGGGGGGTTTTTTTCTATCAGCTTGCTTTTCTGTGAACACACTTTATCTGAAAGTGGCTTCAGGCTCTCTGTAACAAAAACACCTGGCTGTTCAAACAGGTCAAAGGTCAGGAAAATGTGTACATTAAACTTTATCACTCTTCGAGAAAGAAACCACAGGAAGTCGTTTTTCTTTTTTTTTTTTTGAAAAAAATACTTTATACATCATGCAGTTGGTACATCGTCTGAAGACTTTGAAAACACAGACCTTTCCAGAAAAAACAAAACAAAACACACACACACAGACAACACACACACCAGTCTCCATCCTCTCCTAAAAAGCAGAGTACAGCTTCCTCGGATGTTCAAACTAATATTTACAAACTGACACTTGAAGCTGCCTGAGTTAACATTTACAACCAGCCACAATAAAACAATGAAGGCAATCATAAAAATAAAAAATAAAAAAAAACTGACAAAGAGGAGATGATAACATTGTTGTGTAAAAAAAAAAACAAAACAAAAAAAAAAACTACCCTTTGGGATTGAAATGTTTGCATTGTGTAAATGTTAACCATCAGCTACAAATAAAAAAGACGAACATTTATCGGTAAAACTAAACAATAAATAGGAGATAATGGCGGCGATGTTCCTTTACACCTGGAGATAAATACGCAGCCAGCAGACCTGGAGGCACAGGGTGGGCAGGACAGTTGAGACCGTCATGGAAACGACTTCCTGCTGGGACGTTCGGGCCGACCACGAAATCAAACTTCCAAATCTAATCAACATTAATCATTCTGTTCCTTTATGCTTCCCTTTAGTCATTAAAGCTGGAATATGTAACTTATAAAATAATATTAGAAGTTACATGAAACTGTCACCATGTTGTCTCATACTAATGTTAAATATTTAAAAGCTTTTTTTAAATAAATAAAAAAAATACGTTACATACTGCAGCTTTAATTTGAGAGCAGCTTGAGTCTCTCATATCTGCTGATCAGGCTTCCCTTCCTCAGTTTCATCCCTTTTGAATCAACTTTACACAAACTGTCCAATAAAACTGATGTGAATCGTTCTGAAAACATACACCAGGCGTTTCCTGATTTCCTGATTGGATAATATTAATAGCATGCATTGGTTTGTCATCTGATCAGTTCCAGTTCCAGACATCAACGGGAGCCGTAAGCGTGCAGGAGCAGAGGTTAATGACAGCGCGTCTCTGTTTTACCGAGCAGAGCCGGACGAAAGGCGCTGCAGCCTTGAACATCTGACTGGTTCATGGAAGCTGAGCAAACAGCAGCCAACATGAGGTGAGCTGGAAACATCCTGACCGGTCTGAACCGGCTGCCGGGACGCGCATCCATCCCCCCCCAACCCCATCTGAGAACGCCCCGTTCTCTACATGATCCACTGAGATTAATGATCAAATACTGAAAATGCACTGATGAGCTCCCACTGAGGTGAATATGTGTAAAAATAAAACCTGATTTTGGGAGTTGAGCTACTGAAAAAGAGATAAATATCTGCTATTATTAGCATGAAGACATATTAGGGCCATTGTAGATAGAAGAGGGGAAAAAAGGAGAAATAAATTTACTAATGAACCCTGGAATTTTTTTAGATTAGTCTCGGACATTTTTTGAGTTCCAAAAGTTAAAAATCTTCGACTTTTCAAACTCTGAAATTTCCAAGTTCTTTTCTAGAAAATTTGTGAGATTAATCTAAAAAAATCCTGCGTTTTTTGGCGGAAATTCTTTTTTTTGTTTGTTTTTTCCTATACTGACAATGCTCTTAATATGCCGTCATACATAGATGACAGCAAAAAAAGTCAAAAATGTTTTCAGATAAATAATGGAAAGAATAACCTATAATCTGAGCAGTCTAGAGGACAGTTTTTGAAAACTACTGGTCCGAAAATGTTTGAATTGTGTCCAAAATGTCAGACCTATTCTTGCCTAACTACGTAGTTTCACCTTTATTTTAGATTTTTTTCCCCCGACTGAAGCTGCATTTGTTTCCTCAAGTTTATTTGTGACACAAAAACCAAAAATCAATAAAATAAAAATAACAAAAAAAAAAAAAAAAAGATTTTGATGGATATTTGAAACTGGAATCTGTCAAAAACAGAGGAAGCAAAGGAAACAAGGAATGGTTGAGAGTCGGAAAAGCCTGATCCGTCGCTCCCTAACATCCACAACAGAAATACAAACTGGGATCATGCTTGTTCCAGGAAGTTTGGGATAAATGTCATCCTTCCTCGTCTGCTTGAGCCTTCAAAATCCGATCTGCCATTTTTTTAAATTTATTTATTTTTTCCCTTGCAGCAGACGTGGAAGACAAACGCGCTGATTCCGAAACTACCGGAATCACTTTCGGCGTCCTACGTTGGAGAGGACAGCGAACGCAACGCTACAAGACAGGCGGGATCGTAAAAGTGAAATGACCGTTTCCGTAGCAACCTGACGGTACAGTACATGGGTCATGTTCTGACTGCGTGACCTTTTGGGATCACATTTTGTTTTTGTGCCCTTTAAAGTTGAAGCGGCCACAGAGGAGCGTCCCGATTCCTGACGCACCTGAACGCCTCGCCTGCTGATGCACGCTCCCCTTTAGCTCGCCTCTATAAATTATTGACCTTTTTACATCAGGGGTGTCCAAACATTTGCCCTCAGGGTGCCAAAACTAGCAAATTTAAACATTCAATTAGAAATGGAAAAACTGCTCTGTCATTTTTATTTTTGGTTTTTACTAGCTAACACTTTTTTTTTTTTTTATTTGTACTTCATTAAAAGATCCAAAACATTAAAAGTGCTTTGGACTGTTGCTTTATTCAAAGTAAAACAGATAACTTCCACATTTTTCCATTTTTTCCATTCAATCTATGATTTTTTTTGTTCCATCATCAATTGTCAAGAAGTCACGACTTTTCACCGTTCGGCCAAACTGAAGCATTTCAAGGGCGACAAATGGCCCCCGGGCCTCACATTGGACACCCCTGTTTTACAAGCATCAGTACCAACTGTCATGTCTCCCGTAGGGAGCTCTCCTTCTACATACAATATGTTAGCTTACTATATTAGCTTTATATTCATCACTTTTGCTTTACATCTCTTAGATTTAGCTTTTGTTGAAAAGAATGTTCTAATCCTCCTCTTTGCCTTTGAGTTTCCATATAAATAGAGGTTAGAAAATGCTTCATAGTGAACTATAGAAAAACTTCCCTAAAAACCAATCGATCAGACCAATCCCAACGCCCGGCTAGCGTCGCTCAGTGCAACTTCTCTCAACGAGCCGATTTAGTCAGAACTCCTCTAACGGAGACTTTAACAATCAGATTTGACAAAGACAAGCAACAAATCCTCCGGTCCGACACGCCGGAACCAGAAAAGGCTCAGCTAGAAAAAAAGGCCACTTCATGTAGAAAAGTGTTCGACAAACAGCTGATGATCAGTAGAACGTTTTAAGAAATGCTAATGCTAAATGCTAGCCGTTCCAGCTGGATTTCCTGATGTCAGACGTGACAGCATTACGGTTTGAACGGAGGTGCAGATATTCTTTTTAAAAAACGAGCGTGCTGCTCCGTCTCTATGGCTACGGCTGGCAGCCGCTTCCTGACGGGTTCTTCGCTGCTGTGGGAAAGGCACTGCGCGGGGCGGCAGTCCTCTGGCTCTTTGGCGTTGTGTGAAGCTGGCGGGCGGAGTCACGGGGGGGGTGGGTGCTACGTGTGGTGGACCTCGTGGAACATCAGCTCGCGGGGGATGGGCGTCTCGGCGCCGTGTATCGTGGAGGCGCGACGCTCGAACGCCGACACCATCTGCTTCACCACCTCGTCGAAGAAGACGTTGGCGAGCTGGGAGTGGAGGAGGGAGCGGAACTCGAAGGAGATCTGGACAGGGGGGGGCGGGCTTCGTGTTAGCAAGCATTTCTCACAACATGTCACCTCAGGCAAACTGCATCGTCACAACACGCTTGCTGCATTTCCATTGGCCAGCAAGTTGCACAATTTCACATTTCGAAAATAAACCTATTTAATGGAAACATGCCAATTTCAGAAAATACTTGTTTTTGATTAAACAGAAATGTCAATGCTAGGATGAAGTGGGGTGATTTTTGGCTGTATTGAAATTGGTTTATTTTGTAAAACTAGAAACACTTCTTTCTGTATCATGAGTGTGCCTGTCCCAGTAAACAATAAATCAATTAATTGCATAGTAAATAAAAACGAGCTCAATAATTTTAAACTGCATGATTTATCGTTTTTCCATTTTGTCCCTTTCTATCAAAATCTAGTTGACAAAAGTTCATTCTGGTTCTTTGGTCTCTCTCTGAGGAACAGTTCATTTAGACTTCATGATTCATTTTACTTGTGGTTTCTGTTGTTTTGTTCATTTATTTTAAAATGTCTTCCAGTTCCACTGTTAAATGTTCATTAGAATTTAAAGTTTATTGATCTTTGAGAATGTGCTCTTGCATTGTTATGAAATTACCATTATGTTACTTAAAAATGGTCTCAAAACAGTAATATTATTGTTTGTTGCAGTAACTACTGTGCTTATTAAATCTGTTGTGGTGTTATCTGGTTCATGAGTCACAAGTAGTTGGAGGATGATGGCACCTCATGTTTTTTAATAACTTAATCGCGTCAACAAACTTATTCACCTGTGATTTTAATTGCGCTTCTTATTTAACAGAAACAGTCTGAAATTGTTTTTTTTTGGGGGGGGGGGGGGTTTCCGATTTTGGGGAATTTTTTTAAATTGGTTTGACCTTTTGCATTGGAAAAACCG